AAAGACAAGCTGTTTTACTCATTAACAGTTTCATTGTTAAGAGATAAAATGGTATAATTTTTGTGCTTGTACATTTAATTCAAAGCTAAACATCTTTTATTAACAATTCTAGAGTTAACAAATAGTACACAACCCTCTGATTAAACCATTTCCACTATGAAACAGGATGGTGGCAGCATCATGCTGTGGGAATGCTCCTCTTCAGCAGGAACAGAGAAGCTGGTCAGAGGGAGTTATTGGTGCTATATAATTTTTTACACTGTGTAAGAACATTTCAAGGCCTGATACATAATTAGCTACACGCAGAGAATATCGTAGACGTTTGAACCCTAGCACACAGAAACAATGGAGAGCAGAGGTCACGTATGAATCTAGGCCAAAACAAGATCTTAACTGGTGACCAGGAGATTTTGGCAAAAACAGGAAACATCTCTTTCCTGTTTAAGGAAGGACACTGAGGAAAACATATTTCCCAAACACTCAGACACACATGGTACAGGAAGGTATAAATATACTGAGAATGTTGCGCCATTTTCGGGGGAGAAACTGAGATGTCTGATCATGTAGAGCTAAAGTGTTTAAGACAGCTGTAGGAATTTGAATTGACAAAAAATGTTTCCGCCTCCAGAGGAAAAAATTGTGGGAATCATTTTCAAGTGTTCTTCTTTCTGTCATTAGAGAATTCCACCAATGAGGGTTAACAGAGTAAAACCAGAAAATCATGAAGGTAAAAGTGTCAGAAGCTGAGAAAAATGATTGAGTCTAAAAGGGAGGTTCAGCTTCCAACAGGATGACAACCTAACCAAACAACCAGAGCTACAGAGAAATGTTTAGATAAAACATCTTCCTCTGCTAGAAGGACTCAACTAAAGCTACGGAGGGAATTTGGTTTGATTACTGATGCAAACAATGAACAACATTTGTAAACAGAAATAGAAAGGAATACAGGAACCCCCCCCCCCCCAAAAAAAAGAGCAATGTTTTTGTTTTGTTTTTACAAATCTTATATTTTCAACTTTTATCTTCCAATTTTCTACACATTTTTATTTTCAAATCTCTCAAATCACATTGTTTTCTCTCACAGCCAAATACCAATGTTCCCTCTTGATGCACACATTGACTAATAAATTGCTGTTAACGTCCAGAACATAGATATTATAAAAGTAGAAGTTGGACAGGGTCTGCCTTTGCTGCGGATGAGTCAGAGCGTCCGCCATGTTGAATGTGTCTGCTGATAGACTCAGACCCTTAAACAGTATCAGCGGGACTTTAATCTCAGAATATAATTTATATTCTTAACATTTTTATTTTTGTAATATTGTCTATTTTTGTCATTTTCCTGACTTTATTCTCCTAAAGAACAGAATTAATTATAATAATCTAATCTGGCCCTATTGCTCCAGGGCCTTTGATATTTCTGCAAACTGTGACTATTCTGGAAATATTCCCCCTTAATTCTCATAATATGATGTTTTTTCTCATAAAACTTTTGTCTTTTTATTGTCCTGGGACTTTTTTGATACTCATATCAGTAAATTTATCTCTTTAATAATCCCCCAAAAAGTTTGTTCCTAATCTCAGTCTATACCAGATCTTAAATAGTTTAATTGATTTGAATCTGTTCAATAATTTGAAAGACAATTTAAATTGATTACCAGTAAATTTTATATGCAGCTATAGAATATGTAACATAAGAAATAAATGTAACTTTGATTTCTTTTTTTTTTTTTTTCTTTTTTTGGGCAAAAACATGACCTGACTGTGGCTTACAGTTACATCCTAAATTGCTCATCAGACCATCTTTTATATTTTGTTTTGTGTTTGGAAAAAGGGGCACATATTATGTCTTCTTTGTGCTCCTTTTCACTCATGTAGAAAAACACAATGTGCAGTTATTCATGAAACAATGTTTAAAAAAAAGCAAATGACGTGACTGAAAGAAAAATAAAATGAAAATAAAGAAATATATAAATATATAATATTACATATATATAAATATATAGGGGTGGCCATAGATTATTTCTTTTAATCTAGATTAATCTCACTGTAATCTTGGAATTAGTTTAGATTAATCTAGATTGAAATGACTCGTTTGAATTCTGCCAAAGATGAATCATGAATCACAATTACTTTATTAATCCTTGCAGCAATTTTTTTTTCTTCCATTGCAACCGCTTACAGAAGATAAAACAATAAGATTTCAAGTACAAATAAGATATAATAACAAAATGAGGATAAGTATAAAATAATAATATAATAAGATGAGGAGGATGTATGTGTGCTACCTAAATAAAAGCAAGTCTTTTAGGTTTCTCAATCCAGGTAGAGTGTTACACCAGGGGCTCCTGTTTCCAAAATGAATCACAAACTGCTTGAGAAAACTGTTATATAACTGGTGATGAAAACTAGCTATATTCCATTAGATGTGTTTGGGTTTAATAAGTGTTTATTCAGATAAATATGAATTCTGAACAGTAGGCGTACATAATAGGGCTTGGTCGTCATGACGTAAGCACTTTCCGTCGCCGCCATCTTGACGGCCTCCTTTACCGCGGCTCAGACTACTGCCTATGACTACTGCGTACTGTACTCCCTCTCAGCCGTGTTTTAATTTGATTAATTTCACCTTAACTTGATTTCAACCATGGTAAACTGTTGCTGTAATGTGGGCTGTAACAGCTCACAACATGATCACCATGGGAAAAACATAGAAAATGGGTTAACTTTCCACCGCTTTCCTGACTGGAGGCGCAACCACGGAGACCGAGCGTCAGAGATAAAGAGGCTAGCTTGGATCGCGGCTGTAAGACGACCGAACATAACTTTCCACAGTATTCCAATGTCATTGAGAGTGTGTTCCCTGCATTTTTATTCTGGTAAGTTAAAGATGCACAGTTTTATTTTATAGCCTACATTGTTTCTTTCCTTCAAAGTTGGGATCTTTTATGGGAAAATAATAAAAACGGCAGCAGGAAAAGGCTCAAATACGTGAGAAACCCGGAGGGTTGGCAGTTAACGTTACTAACTACACCTTTGAAACACATAGCAGCTAGTTAAAAGTACATTACATGCGTGAGTGGTTGTTAGCATTAGCGGTTAGCAGTTGCTAAACTAGCAGGTTCCAGAGCCCGTCTGATCACAGCTTACCTTCGTACGGATTACTGTGTTCCCACTGTTTGCTGGCTTTATGATCTGCAGCTCCTGAACCCATCCATTCATGAACTGCATATGAGACTCCAAGGACTTGTAGCTTCAGAACTGTTTTGAAGTATAGGCGCTCACTCATCGGTGCTCCACTCATTGTTTGGAACTTCATATGGATCCAAATGATTAATAATGCTGATTTTGTCAACATACAGGTCCGTGGCTTCTCTATTTAATGTGTCCCGGTAAATTCCAGATCCTTTTCGGGATTTTAACATCTTTTTTCTCTCTACTTCTACGTCTCTTCAACAACAACGGTGTATCAGAGCTACGTTTACGTTTGCGTAGCCCTCAATATGACCGCAACGTCCCACAATGCAACGTGGATCCCGCGCCCTATTGGTCACCAGGAAGTGTTTACAATCAGTAGCTTTGTGTCTGTCAGTCCAAGCTCTATTTCTTCTTTTTCCATCAGTCACTCAGGCAGTCATTGTAATGTTCTGTGAGGCTGGAATAGCCACAAGGGCTGCTGGGTAATGTCAATATGGGGAAACATCACCATTTTATCCTAGTTTTGTATTAAAGAGTGTTGTTTATGTTGGTATTCTGTTAATGCTATCCAACATTATGTTCTGGAGGTTGCAGTTGTGTTTAGATTGGCACCATTCGATAAATGCTTCACCAGTTGGATATAAAGGAACAAGCATTTTCCGTTTTATTGCATAAAGAGCTTCACGACTGTTACATTTTATGGCGCATGCTACTAGTGATGGGTTGATGAGATATCATGAAACATTTTAACACATTTCCTGTGTTGAGACTACATTGATAGTTATTTCTCAATTCACAAGAATGTGAGTAATCGCCAAGTAGGTTCTTGAGAAGAACACAGGAAAGTCTGGACTTTGGGAGAACGCAGAAGCGTACTTGAGCTGCATTTCACCTGTTAATAGTATTCTAGATAATAAGTTATTTATCTATTAATTTAGTGGGGGAATAATAAAGTCAGTTAAACACATATCAAATAAACTTTTTTGCCAATTAAAACAAAAAAATCACCATATTCGGCTACTGCAGACGGGCTAAAATTAGCCCTGACTGTGGTTATAGTAATGGTCTCGCCACACACACACATATTTTGAAAAACATTTTATAATGCTTACTATAAAATGAAATGGGCTCCAGTTGTTTGTACTGTATCCTGCACAGCTGAAGTGCATTGGGTAGCCTCCATCTGCCTGTATTAAAATCTGTCAATATCAAAACAGTTTAGATTAGTAATTCAGATTAACCATTCAAAACTTCTAGAAATTTTTATAATTCTGATGAACAGCAAGAAGCTGCCACACCAAAAATACATTTCATTACACATAGATTAATAAAAAAAAAAAAAACAGCTATCAGGGTGAGCATACATATAAGGAGGGGGGGGTCCCCCTGCTGAATGCTATGCTAAAAGAAATTTCTTTACTAAATGACAATTGTAAGGTTGTAGTTGTCCAAGTCTAAGCAGATGCAGACTTGTTAGCTTTATGTTAAACACAAATGGTGTTCATTTTGGATAATCTGGAACTGGATATGCATTTTGAAAAGAACCATCTTTAGATGTGGTTTAGTGTTATATTGCACAACATATCAAAATGAGACTAGATTTGGCAGTATATGCCGTTTTGAAATAAGCACTTAGGGGGTCCAGAAAAGCTGTTCAATATAGCAACTAAAGAGTGCAATTTTTTTCCTGCAACAACTGCAAATAATTTATGAATTCAAGGTTATCTCCTTAGAGACTATTTCAAGAATCTTTGCACAGAACAGAGCATAATGTTCAATACTAACAATAACCAGATCCTTAATATTCCCACCTTGACAAAGGAAACAATTGCTCTTGTTGACATTTGTGTGGCCTTTAAAAGGGCCTTTGTTGAGTTTGCGGCAGTGAGTTTACTTGGAGCTGGTGTACTTGGTGACAGCCTTGGTTCCCTCAGACACAGCGTGCTTGGCCAGCTCACCGGGCAGCAGGAGGCGCACAGCGGTCTGGATCTCCCTGGAGGTGATGGTGGAGCGCTTGTTGTAGTGAGCCAGGCGGGAAGCCTCGGAGGCGATGCGCTCGAAGATGTCGTTGACGAACGAGTTCATGATGCTCATGGCCTTGGAGGAGATGCCGGTGTCGGGGTGCACCTGCTTCAGCACCTTGTACACATAGATGGCGTAGCTCTCCTTCCTGGTCTTTCTCTTCTTCTTGCCTCCTTTGCCGGCGGTCTTGGTCACGGCTTTCTTGGAGCCCTTCTTGGGCGCAGACTTGACGGGTTCAGGCATCCTGATATGTTCCTGGAAACAGCAACGAATGAGATGCAAGAAGCGAGACCAGTGATTATATACAGGGTGTATGTAAAATAGTCTGTGCTGTCTCCTGTCTATGATTGGTTTACATGCTCGGAAGGTTAGAGCAGCTATTGGTCCTCAGTGAGACTCTTACTGGTTCTGTGTGTGTGTGTGTGTGTGTGTGTGTGTGAAAGGGGGGGATGGGTTGGGAGTTGTAATGCATGTTAGTTTGCTCCTGTTGTAGCATCACAGTAAGAAACGTTCTGAGCATTTCTGTGTTTATCTATTAGCCCCCTGCCTCTGTCATCAGGGAATGAAAATGATCATAAACAGCTCATGCACAACAGAAAGCTCCAACAATCCAGAAGAACAAAGAAGATCTGCATTGGAATGAACCTCCATGTTAAATATAAGTCTCCTAAATAAAAATCTTCAACGACTGAGAGAAAGTCAGGTTGCCTTCCAACTCCTTTGCCTGTTTGTGGTTACTAGAGAACATGGTACAGCAATAAAAGGTTTATTTTATCAATGGATTAATGCATTGGGCTTAGTTGGCTACATTTTCCTACAGGATCCGACTCAAAAAAATCTAATCATCTAAGGAAGAGGTAAAATGACAAATACAGTGGACAGAAAATATATATATACAGGTGCTGGTCATAAAATTAGAATATCATGAAAAAGTAGATTGATTTCAGTAATTCCATTTAAAAAGTGAAACTTGTATATTATATTCATACATTACATACAAACTCATATATTTCAGATGTTTATTTTGTTTAATTTTGATGATTACAAATGACAACAAATGAAAATCTCAAATTCATCATATCAGAAAATTAGAATATTGTGAAAAGGTTCAAAATTCATGGCCCCTGGTGCCACACTCTAATCAGCTAATTAACTCAAACCACCTGCAAAAGCCTTTAAATGATCTTTCAGTCTAGTTCTATAGGCTACACAATCATGGGGAAGACTGCTGACTTGACAGTTGTCCAAAAGACGACCATCGACACCTTGCACAAGGAGGGCAAGACACAAAAGGTCATCGCTAAAGAGGCTGGCTGTTCACAGAGCTCAGTGTCCAAGCACATTAATAGAGAGGCGAAGGGAAGGAAAAGATGTGGTCGAAAAAAGTGTACAAGCAAGAGAGATAACCGCACCCTGGAGAGGATTGTGAAACAAAACCCCTTCAAAACTGTGGGGGAGATTCACAAAGAGTGGACTGCAGCTGGAGTGAGTGCTTCAAGAACCACCACACACAGACGTATGAAAGACATGGGTTTCTGCTGTCGCATTCCTTGTGTCAAGCCACTCTTGAACCACAGACAGCGTCAGAAGCGTCTTGCCTGGGCTAAAGAGAAACAGGACTGGACTGCTGGTGAGTGGTCCAAAGTCATGTTCTCTGATGAAAGTAAATTTTGCATTTCCTTTGGAAATCAAGGTCCCAGAGTCTGGAGGAAAAGAAGAGAGGCACTTCATCCACGTTGCTTGAAGTCCAGTGTAAAGTTTCCACAGTCAGTGATGGTTTGGGGTGCCATGTCATCTGCTGGTGTTGGTCCATTGTGTTTTCTGAGGTCCAGGGTCAACGCAGCCACATACCAGGAAGTTTTAGAGCACTTCATGCTTCCTGCAGCTGACCAACTTTTTGGAGATGCAGATTTCATTTTCCAACAGGACTTGGCACCTGCACACAGTGCCAAAGCTACCAGTACCTGGTTGAAGGACCATGGTATCCCTGTTCTTAATTGGCCAGCAAACTCTCCTGACCTTAACCCCATAGAAAATCTATGGGGTATTGTGAAGAAGAAGATGCAATACACCAGACCCAACAATTCAGAAGAGCTAAAAGCCACTATTAGAGCAACCTGGGCTATCATAACACCTGAGCAGTGCCACAGACTGATCGACTCCATGCCACGCCGCATTGCTGCAGTAATACAGGCCAAAGGAGGCCCAACTAAATACTGAGTGCTGTACATGCTCATACTTTTCATGTTCATACTTTTCAGTTGGCCAACATTTCTATAAATCCTTTGTTTTTATTGGTCTTCAGTAATATTCTAATTTTCTGATATGATGAATTTGAGATTTTCATTTGTTGTCATTTGTAATCATCAAAATTAAACAAAATAAACATCTGAAATATATGAGTTTGTATGTAATGTATGAATATAATATACAAGTTTCACTTTTTAAATGGAATTACTGAAATCAATCTACTTTTTCATGATATTCTAATTTTATGACCAGCACCTGTATATATATATAACTTGAGCTTAGGATATGGAGGACCAATCCTGCCACAATAAAAAAAAAAATTGTAATTTAATGAGAATTTATCATTTATGGATGTAAACCTACAACTCAATTCAGTAAAACGATTAAATGTATAACTCTAACTCTAATGTCAAAGCTGAAACCCTTCTATGTTCATTAGACTTCGTCATTATGTAAGCAGTGTATAGAAAAGGAGATTCTGTTGAATACAGCTTACTACAGTGAAAGAAGCTGCTTTTAACAGTGAAACAGTGAAATGAACTAGCAATAATATGGAGGTTGGTGTTGCTGCTAGCTTATGGAGGTAGAAAAAAAAGGGAATGTGAAAAAATTTTTTCCTGGAGAAAAAAAAAAAGACACTCCTCCATCCAATATATATTGGATCACAAAATAGTGCGAGTTATGGATATAAGATAAGAGGACCTATAATAGAATATTATTTGCTATAATCAATACAGGGATTTTCTATTCTGAAAAATAGTTTCCAATAATATTGAAAATCAGGAATCATCTTAAGAAATGTGGGTGGCTCTTAAAAGAGCCGTTGTTTTGTGGGATTGAGTTGGAATTTAACCTCCAAAGCCGTAGAGAGTGCGGCCCTGCCTCTTGAGAGCATAGACCACATCCATGGCGGGTCAGTCTTCCTCTTGGCGTGCTCGGTGTAGGTGACGGCATCACGGATGACGTTCTCCAAGAAAACCTTCAGGACACCGCGGGTCTCCTCGTAGATGAGACCGGAGATGCGCTTGACTCCACCACGGCGGGCTAAACGGCGGATAGCGGGTTTGGTAATGCCCTGGATGTTATCACGGAGGACTTTGCGATGACGCTTGGCGCCTCCTTTTCCGAGTCCTTTTCCTCCCTTTCCACGTCCGCTCATGTTGTCTTTATCTATCTCGCAAAGAGAATGATACCAACTGACTGAGTATCGACATATGAATCCACCCTACGGACCTAAATGAGGACAAGCGACCCTCTTTCCCCGCCTCTAACCACATTTCCGCTTTGAAGAAGCAAATTGAAATATTAAGAGACTCTTAATGAATAAAGAAAAAATCCAGCTGGTATAGGATCAAACCGAATGAAAATAACTGATTTATAAAGTAGATTCAGTTCATATGGAGTCTCCAATAACTTATTAGATATTTGTTATCTCGTCAGTGTTAGTAAATATACTGAGCTTTGTGTAGGGAGAGCAGGTTAGTTCCAACTCCTACTTTATTAGGTGTGAAACTCTAAATGTACATGCAGATGTAAATTCCAAACAAAATTACAAGTGAAACGACCTAATCTCTTGTAAATTAACATCTAAGAAAAAAAAAATAACAGCATATCCTTCACTACAACATACATAAAAAAATGGAACAGAAAAAAAGGCGTAAAAGTAAAATATCTATAAATAAAACCCAAGGATATCAAAAGGACATTGTTTTGCATCTTTCTCAAAATCTCTTGAAAATTATGCATGTATTTATCAAACCTGCACTTATGAATGGACCTCATGTTGTAAATTCTTTTAAGTATTTGTTTCTGTGGATATGAACATCTGTTATGTGAGGGATGTATGCTTCCTCACGTTTCCTTTTATGTTCTTAGATTGACATTTTAGATCAGACATTGGGATTGCCATCTTATTTAGTACCCATTTGATGGCTGCCAAAGTAAGTGTGAATATATTGTAACAGTAAATCCCGCTCATTAGTGAAATGTGGGTGGCTCTTAAAAGAGCCGTTGGTTTGTTTTTGAGAGCCTGCAGATTTACTTCTTTGCCGGTTTCTCGGTTTTCTTGGGCAGCAACACAGCCTGGATGTTAGGAAGAACACCGCCCTGAGCGATGGTAACTCCGCCAAGCAGTTTGTTGAGCTCCTCGTCGTTGCGGACAGCCAGCTGCAGATGGCGGGGGATGATCCTGGTCTTCTTGTTGTCACGAGCAGCGTTTCCAGCCAACTCCAGGATCTCAGCAGTCAGGTATTCCAGCACTGCAGCCAGATAGACGGGAGCTCCAGCGCCCACGCGCTCAGCGTAGTTGCCCTTCCTCAACAGCCTGTGAACACGGCCGACTGGGAACTGCAGCCCAGCACGAGAGGAGCGGGTCTTGGCCTTAGCCCTGGCTTTGCCTCCGGTCTTTCCACGTCCAGACATGATTTCTCAAAAAGTTTACTTTAAAAGGTGACTGTCAGGACGCGCATTGGGAGTATATATAAAGCCTGTCGTGGATCATATGCTCTCTGATTGGTCACACGTAACAACAAATCTAGTCGTCCAATCAAAGCAGGCGTCTTTTCCCCGCAGTCTGCTTCTGCCATTTACCACTAAATGCATTCTGTGGCGTGGCTTCAGGCCGCCAGCTGGCGGAAACTATTCAATCCATTCATAGACAGCATTACAGAATATAATTGTATACGATATATGTTTCAATGTATAAAAAAATCCCATTATATTAAGTTGATAGATAATAAAATATGATTAACAATCATTTAATATGCATTACATTCATCCCCTTTCTTCCTGTCGATACTTTTATCCATTCGACCTATACATACACACATATAAAAGAAGAAAATAAAGGGTTAGAGTAGATAGAAAACAGACAAGCACAGAGCAGACATTGTCTAATCTTTCTCTTCTACAAAAAAAGATTATGATTGTTACCAGCAAAGTGACAAAAAAGGGTTGGGGGGAAAAAACAGATGAGTGTAAGGAAATAGTACTTACTTTTATTAGAAACATTTTTTTAAATAACATTGAGTAAAACAACTTGAGCTCTTGTAAAATCTGTAAAAAAAAAACAAAAGAAACAGCATCTCATACACTACAGTAAAAAAGTAACAGACTAAAATAACAAAATGCACAGTTATTTTTAAATCCGTAAGTAAATTAAGACATTCCTTTTTTGCATTGTTCTCAAATACCCCTTAATTTTTAATATTCTTTTAGCGCAGAATAGGCAGTTAATTATCAAACCTACATTTTTATGTAGTATTTTGCTGCAATAATCACGATTGACCATTTAATTATTTATAGGAAGTTGATATATTGCCGTTACAATAAAACCTACATTAGATTTCAGTTATCTAAATTCATTCTGGAGTAAGCAAATCTCTTGCTTCTTCATGGAGTCCTTATAGGATAAATATTTAGCATTTTTCCAGGGGGGAGCTTATAGAAAAATCTGGTTGGTATTCCACTTGAGAGAAATTAGTTTTTTCCCCCCCATTCTATGTACACAATGTGTGCTGTATGTAATTTAAAACAGGATCAGAGCTCTGAAAAGATGTAAGTGACTCTTAAAAGAGCCGTTGGGTTTTATTGGATGAGCTTGACTTATGCTCTCTCTCCACGGATGCGGCGGGCCAGCTGGATGTCTTTGGGCATGATGGTGACCCTCTTGGCGTGGATGGCGCACAGGTTGGTGTCCTCGAACAGACCAACCAGGTAAGCCTCGCTGGCCTCCTGCAGAGCCATGACGGCGGAGCTCTGGAAGCGCAGGTCGGTCTTGAAATCCTGAGCGATCTCTCTGACCAGACGCTGGAAGGGCAGCTTGCGGATGAGCAGCTCAGTGGACTTCTGGTAACGGCGGATCTCTCGGAGAGCCACGGTACCGGGCCTGTAACGGTGGGGCTTCTTCACTCCACCGGTAGCCGGGGCGCTCTTACGGGCAGCTTTGGTAGCCAGCTGCTTCCTGGGAGCCTTTCCTCCGGTGGATTTACGGGCGGTCTGCTTGGTTCTGGCCATGGCGGACTAGATGCTTATCTCTCACTAACTGAGGAAGATATGAATCCGCAGTGGAAACAGCGGCTTTATAAAGAACAGTGCGACGTGAGGTGGCCTCTGATTGGACCAAATGAAACATGTGGTTCCGCCTTTCCAACTCAGTCAGTGGCTGAGTTTGAAATTTCAAAATAAAGCGCGACATGTGTAATAAAGAAAGAAAAAGGCGGAGTAAAATAAAAACCAAGGTAAAAGCAAGAATACCATATTCTTATTGTTTCTTTAACCTGATTACTATCCAAAACTAGTTCAAATGTTACGAAAGGAATACAACTCAGTTGAAACTGTTTCTACAGTTAGAGGAAATATATTTCACAAATAGATGTGATTCTTTTAAATAACAAGATTTAATCTAAACCTTCGTCATTTCAGTCACATATATTTTTAATTATTATTCATTCCTGTTATAAACCCTCCTTGGGCTCTTTTCTTTTTGTCCTATAATAAATATTTAAAGTTATAAACTACTTACATAACACTCAGTAAAATATTGTCCATGCTGAAATTGTTTTGTTTATTTATGACATATCACGTGCAATTACAAAAACATTTAAGTCAGTTGCACTCTTTTCAGTATCAGTTTAGTAATACCACATACTTTATCAGCACAGAGCTCAACTCTGATACAGCTACGTCTCCATGAAATCACTAGATGTGCTACACACACATCTAATTACATATCCATGCTTCCATTCCAAATAGGTATTAGTGTTAATAATGTGGTCACATATTTGCTCACAATTGGAGATGATTTTAGGGTGAATCATCTGGATGAGGCTGTCCCATGGGTTTCAGTTATGAGTGAAATAAACTGATTTTAACCATTCCATTGATCTGCCACTCTAATCACTGCCTTTAAGTTTGAGAATATTACCTATTTAAGTAATTAATTTTCTGCTTATAAGGAATGAGCTCTTGAGATGAAGCTGTGGTGGCTCTGAAAAGAGCCTTTGTTGCACTGAGTGCTGGTTGAAGCAGCAGTCTACTTCTTGGCCTTCTTAGCTGGGGCCTTTTTAGCTGCAGGTTTCTTGGCTGCAGGTTTCTTAGCTGCAGGCTTCTTAGCAGCCTTTGGCTTCTTGGCAGCAGGGGCGGCCTTTTTGGGGCTCTTCTTCACCACCTTTTTCACGCTTTTCTTGGCCGCTGCTGCCTTCTTCGGAGACTTCTTGGCTGCTGTCGCTTTCTTAGCAGCGGTGGCTTTTTTCGGGGTGCTGACCTTCTTGGCGGCGGGCTTCTTGGCTTTTGCGGGAGCCTTCTTCTTCACCACCTTCTTGGCTGGTTTAGCGGATTTGGACTCCTTGGCGAGCTTGAAAGAACCGGAGGCCCCGGTCCCCTTGGTGTGAGCCAGGGTGCCGTTGGTCACCAACTTAGTGATGGCCGTGTTGATCCGCTTGTTGGCTTTAGCTACATCCACCCCTTTAGCAGCCAGGACCTTCTTCACCGCCGACAGAGACACTCCTTTGCGCTCCTTGGACTCGGCCACGGCGTCCACGATCTGCTTGGACAGGCTGGGTCCATCCTTCTTGGCCTTAGGAGCGGACTTCTTCCTCGGGGCTTTAGCCGGTGCAGCTGCTGGAGCTTCTTCTGCCATGTTTCTCTCTTAATGTTTCTCTGAACGTCTCCAGCTCAGAGCAGGAGGCGGGATTTATAATATGGATGAGAACCCTGAAGAAACAACTCAGCCTGCTGCTCAGCTCCCGCCTCAAATCGCTCCGCACTTGTGTTTTCTTCCCAGTTTTAAAGCTCTAAATCTTCGCTAAGTTAAAATTTTATATCATATAACTTATTTTAACGGAAAGGAAATTGTTCAGTTCAGTTCAGTTTATTTATATAGCGCCAAATTCACAACACATGTCATCTCAAGGCACTTTACAGTTCAACCAGATCATACAGTCAAATTGATACAAAGTTTTCTATCTAAGGAAAACCAGTTGATTGCATTGACTCATTGACTCAAATACAATCCCCCACACTAAGCATGCTTGTAGCGACAGTGGAGAGGAAAAACTCCCTTTTAACAGGAAGAAACCTCCAGCAGAACCAGGCTCAGTGTGAGCGGCCATCTGCTGAGGCCGACTGGGGTTCAAGGAGACAGAGCAGAGATACAAAAAGCAGCTGTAAAAGGCGGCCCCGTCCAGGAAACACACAGCCAGGCAGACGAGCTCCAAGGCAGCTCCCATGCCAGAGGACGAAGAGAGCACATCCACTCAGTCACGGCCAGAGAAACAGGACCACACTGGAAAACAGGCCGATCTCCAACATCTATAAACAAGGGTGTTGATGGAAGCAGCACAGCTGATGTTTCTTTCCAGGATGAAGTCACAGCCAAACAGGAACAGACGAGGCAAAGCTACTCTGAGGAAAAGCAGAGAGAGCAGAAGGTTAGAGATTGAACTAACAGATTCTGCAGAATAGGAGAACAGAGAGAGAATGAAGCAGAATGATGAAATGGGGGTCCCTATGTCCTCCAAAAGTCTAAGCCTATAGCAGCATAACTATAGAGATAGCTCAGGATAACCTGAGCCACCCTAACTATAAGCTTTATCAAAAAGGAAAGTTTTAAGCCTAGCCTTAAAAGTAGACAGGGTGTCTGCCTCACGGACTAAAACTGGTAGTTGGTTCCACAGGAGAGGAGCCTGATAACTAAAAGATCTGCCTCCCATTCTACTTTTAGAAATTCTAGGAACCACTAGTACACCTGCAGATTGAGAGCGAAGTGCTCTGTTAGGAACATAAGGAACAATCAGATCTCTGATATAAGATGGAGCTTGGCCATTTAAGGCTTTATATGTGAGAAGGAGGATTTTAAATTCTATTCTTGATTTAACAGGAAGCCAATGAAGAGAAGCCAGGATAGGCGAGATATGATCTCTCTTTTTCATTTTCATCAGAACTCTGGCTGCAGCATTTTGGATCAGCTGAAGGCTTTTAACTACAGTTTGTGGACTTCCTGATAGTAAAGAATTACAATAGTCCAGCCTTGAAGTAACAAATGCATGGACTAGTTTTTCAGCATCACCCCTGGACAGGATATTTCTAATTTTTGCAATGTTCCTCAGATGAAAGAAGGAAATTCTAGAAACCTCTTTGATATGGGATTTAAATGACAGGTCCTGATCAAAAATAACACCAAGATTTTTTACTTTATTATCTGAAATCAGTTTAATCCCATCCATGAATTGTCTAATCTATACACTGAGGCCACATTTGGTTTCCAGGACTTTCTCTTTTTGACCCAGGAACGCTCAAAAGTGTCTGAAGCTCCTTGTTTCTGAGCATCAACAGGCGGGTTTTCTCCACAATTCGTCCTTTAAAACATCTAAAACAATTGTTCAAATGACATTAAGATGAGAACCTCGCTAAAAAAACAAAGGAATGAAAAGAATACAAATGAAATGGTTTCGTTAGTGTCAT